CGCACGATACACGCTTGCCCACCGAAATGCACAAGTCATTGCCCTCAACACGAACGCTTAGTGTATCGCCTTATGAGGAGGAGGAGAAGATGGAGGATGGGGGGGGGGCAGAAGGAGGAGATTCGAGGAGAGCAACGGCAGCAGCAGCAGCAGCAGCAGCAGCAGCAGCAGCAACAATACGGCTGACCCATTGAAATGTATCTAAGGCCAAGAAAATCTCGATTCGAGTGGGGATAGGGAAAGGCACGCGCCGTGAATCTGAATTTCCTAAAGTCTTTCCGAGTGTTGTTAATGCCAATTTCGCTCTCAATTTCCAGATGTGCGAAAAGTCTTTGCTCTTTGTCCTACCCTGAGTACTTGGCAGTCACGTAGACCCATGGCGCGTGGGTTCAACGAGGTCGCCGCACCTATTGGAATATCAATGAAAACGCCGTAATCGCGAAACTCCCGCGATGCCAAGATAAGGAACCAGGCTTTTGCTCGTTTTTTTCGTGTATTTTTTATTCTTTTCTTCTTTTTTTTTTTTTTTTTCATAACGGTCGCCGAGCAATTTCGCCAAGTACAAGTTCCGCGCTTCCTTAATTTGCGACATTTCACGGCTCGCGCGTGGGCTGTGTATTAAGTGTATCCGTGGAACGGTCCGAGATGCCGGCTACGTACTTTCTTTGAGTTTAGGATTTGGGGAACCGTGTGGCGTAGTGTTGAGGGGCATTATCAACTGACGAAGAGTATCGCGCGGAGTTATGGTAATGTCGTAATGGGATCGGAAAGCATTGGGAATCGAGCCTGTTTATCATGACTGATCGTTAATATTTTTAATGCGGAAAAGTCGAAAAAAGTGTAAAGCTCTCGGGCCCGCGTATACTGTACGTCATAAATTATTAAAGTATTGTAGCCAATATCGATTACGTTCCACCCCCATTGTTTCGGCCCATCAACACAACAATATCAATGAAAGTGCGCACTATATATGGTTATATATGACTACCGGGGAGTTATCGCTTGTGAATAAATTTCATTAGCATTGGCGAATAAACGCCCATCCACCTCTATTCCCATAAATTTGTATTATATTATGCCTGCGTGTGCGTGTGCGTGCGCGTGTGCGTGCGCGTGTGTTGGTAAGTGGACGAATGACGCGTTAATAATCATAGCCTGGGTGGCGCTCTGACCGAGTCCACTTAAACATTGACTTTGCAAATTCCAATGAAGGCTAAGACATCATTTGAATTCGGAATTGTCTTTCCCGACTACTTATCGTGCAGAATTACTTTGTCCAATAAATTTCGTCCGCTACGGCAGAAGGCTTTACAACTCATGAAATATTTACGCACCGAATTTATCAACATAACGGCAAGTTATTTACGATATTCATGCGAACATTGTCCGTATTTAAGTGCTTCGATCTCTAGTCGAGAACGACGCACTGAAAATATCGATTACTAACGAGCGCTGGTAATTTCATTTTAGATAAACAAATCATTGCGCATTAATGAAATTTATGTTCATCGACGTTGAGAATCGCCGATACATCGATGTGCACGCCAATCTATAATCTTTTGTTATGCCTGCTGTGGCGCATTTGGCTATCCTATAAACGAGGGCCCAGTGATGCTTTGGGGTCCATTCGGGCGCACGCGTTCGAACACGGGCCCAAGTGTCATTTCCGATTCGTCTAGAAGGCGCGCGTCACCGCAATATCCTTCCGCGATGAATAGCGAGAAGCTCGTGCGCCATTGTCTCGGATTCAGCAATCGAACGAGTTATTTTATAAGAATTTTCCGTCGTCGTCGCAGCGTTCCCCTTTGTCCTCGCAGGCGCGTGGCCCTCGGCACGACAATGCAACATTTCCACGGAAAATATTTCCCGCGCCGGAGCCCGGGCGATTCGTGTCAGGGATGCCGGTCGCGTCATTGCTCGGATGCGTAACGATACCGCCAGCAAAATTATGGCAGATTTACGAAGAAAAATCTTACGGATTCAAAGATCTCCCATGCGAATTTAATTCGGTGTTTGGCTTACATTGTTTATAGCCACGTGTGCGAATTGTTGATTTCGTGTTGTCCACGGGCCAATCGACCCGATGGCCGTTACATAAGAATGACCGTTTGAATGAAAATTAATTGTTTCATTAATTGTTTGGGTGTAGGACAATCGCTAATGTAGTAACGTCAAGTTGATTGAATAAAAAAAAAAAATAAAAGAAAAAAAAAAAGAAAAAAATAAAAAAGAAAAGGACGAGCTAGCAATGCTTTTATGTCTTGTGTCGTTATGCTCGCGCAACAATATCCCCCCATGCCGGACTTAATTTCATCTCCGATGCACAACATTTTGCATTAATAGCAATTTGCCATAAATAAGAATATCAAGAAATTTAATATATTACTTAACCGAGTGAATATTTAATCGAAAGCAAATTCTTGAACAAGAAGAGTGAAAAAGAACAAAACTTATACTGTAGCTGAATAAAATTTAAAGGTATAATAAATTTAGGCGTACTTTCAATTTAAACGGTATTTATGTTCTATATTTAATTTATAAGCATATGCGCTACAAATTACAAAATATGAGCATGTACGAAGGGGAGATGGGATGATCGGTTTTCTGTTTTATAGTGCGGCACAAAGAATGCGGGTTTCTTGAGACGAGAGATATTCTTAACGAGATAAGCGAAAGTTTCCTCGTACACGCGATTTATAATTGTAATTTGCCATTTTTCCCAATGCTAATAATGTTCTTTTATTTTAAATTCGAGTTCCGCTCTAATTATTTATATTTGCAATAATTTCGAGATATTGAATTAAAAATTTCGCTCGCCAAGGCATGTTATTCGATGTTCAATAAAGTTAATGGGAAATAGATTGATACGGGGTGGTGCGGGAAAGGCTGGCTAATATTAAGGACGACTCGTGTCACATTAAAACAAGATGATATATATCACGAGCGCGCGCTATCTAAATATATGAATATTTGTCTTGCAAATTAATAATTTCATCGTTAAAAGACTTTCGTTGCTCGATGAATAAAAGGATAATCTCGGGCGCGAGTTAATAAATCGATCGAATTCGCTGCGCAATAGAGGAGAAAAGAGCCGGGGCCTTCTTTCATTTATTCATTACAGTATTGACAAGGACGTGTCGTCGTTAAAATCAAAATATAAGAGAAAACGGCATTCCGTGGCACATTTGAGGCCATCGTAAATGAAAAAACAAACAGACAGGACGACGAGAGTGAATGGACTGCGAAAATAGCGAGGATGAGCGAGATAAGGGGAGAGCATTGAACTATGGGAATCGTTGTAGTTCCTTCGTTAATGGAAACGAAACGCCTTGCGTTATTTTTTTCAAGAGCTAGAGCAATCGCTTGCTCATTCGACTATGTTGACCACGGACCTTTTTCCATTTGCCGTGGATAAGTTTTTTCACGCCAAATATTAATTGCCACGTGTCGGTTTACATTGGGAAAAGGCAACGATTCATGCATTTCAAACTTTCATTGATTGGGGGTGAAACGCAAAGATCGGTAGGATGCGTTTGCTCATTATGAATAATCTCTCTCGTTAATGATCCGTGATGCTGAATGTGGACAGATAATAATTAATTAAGATAATACAGCGGATACGGATACGTGTAATAGTCAATTATTTGAAAAAGCAATGAAATTTCTATGATATTCATTTTAATGGCTGCGAAATAGCCATTATCTAGTTTCCCTTTTTCATTATAATGATTTAAACAACAAAAGGGAAGCGAAGGTTTTTCTATTTTTTTAACGTAGTTACTTTTTTTTTTTTTTTTTTTTTTTTTTTTTTTTTTTTTTTTTTTTTTTTTTTTTTTTTTTTTTTCCCAATTTTTTTTTTTTTTTTTTTTTGCCAAATCTCATATGCGTATGCATTAACGAGCGAGTATGCTCGTGTTTTCTGACGTGTGTTTAAATGTGAAACAAAAAGAAGAGGAAGAGCACATATAAACAAAAAATGTAGATTTTAAAATTTTCATAAGACACCAGAATTATTGTAAAAATTCAAATAACAATGTAATGATGATGGATTCTCTAAATTTCTATCTATCCTCAAATGAAAATTGTCATCAATCGAAATGTCTTTTACTCCGCAATACATAACTCGATGGGCTATCGCGGATGATCGATTTTGCCTTTTGAATTATGCGAGTCGATAGGAAACGTTAGAGTGATAATCACGAGGAAGAGTCGTGCATTATGTCGCGATTACGCACTGCATATACCGAAGGAACAGCGTCGTATAGATAAATTAGCGGACGAAAGATGGGAGCGGGAAAAGCTATTCGAGATACGCGTAGTACTCGGCTAAAAAGAAAGTATTTAATGAAAACTCGGTGACTTAAGTGTTAAGTCATGACGCTTAACAAATACCTCGAGCCGTTTGATTAAAATACTTTCATTTTCAGTATAGTGTCGTACCGAGACTGTAATTAATACGGATACCTGACTTTGAAAAGTTTCTTACGCCCAGCCGCGTGACAGCCGTAACAAGAATATTCCCCAGCCCCGTGACAACTCTCGCTTTAAAATTTCCACGACGCACCACTAACGATAGGCCAAGAAAATTTGCGAAAAACCGAAGCTCGCCATATAATTCTCATATTATTAAAATGTGCTTAAAGCCGACAAACTTGAGCGTAATTTCATCACGTCATATCGAGAAATAGACGGAATATAGGAAATTCAAGGAAATTTATGAAATTTACGAAATTCACGTAATTCGCCTCTCCTGTCTTGCCACTCGAGCTGAGTCCGCGATTCACGTGCGCACTATTCGAGCTGAGAAAATCGAACGATCGATTAATTAGGGCCTAGATTAATTAACGACACGGCTGTATTCGTTAACCAGCCGAGTATACGCAACTTCAAGCCGCAACGTCTGCCGCAAACAACCCGCGCAAGCGGTCCAGTCGACTGTTTGGACTGTCGCAGTCGTCGAATAAAGGACGGGATGCCGTGCGCACCCGAATGTCACTCACCAGGAGTCCGAGGATCGCCAGGCCCATGGTCCACCGGCTGGAGGTTCGCGATCACGCGCCAAAACTCGTCTACTGGCGGCTCGAGTCCGGCCCGGATTATCGGCCGGCCGGGCCGCCAACGCCTACCAGTCCAAGTGGGAAGACCGGGCAGCGGCTCTTTTTCCTCCTTTATCCAACAGTGGCCTTTATCCAGCCTCCGCGCGAGCTTATCGAAGGGCCTCGCTCCGCATTTTCCCTTTCGCCGTAAAACGAGGGCCGACGCGTACTCGACCGGAGTTCGCGAGTCGAATGCAACGCGATTCGTCGTTAGTAAAGCAAAAGCCACTCTGCTTTAGGCTCGCCGAACAAACAGGCCTTAACGAATCTCTCCTTTTATAGATTCTGATAGCTTAATGTGATGACATTTCAAACCCGCCCCCGCCCCACCAGCTCACTAACTACTCTCTCTCTCTCTCTCTCTCTCTCTCTCTCTCTCTCTCTCTATCTCTATCTATATATATCTCTCTCTCTCTCTCTATCTCTATCTATATCTCTGTCTGTCTGTCTGTCTGTCTGTCTGTCACGCACTCTTGAATTACCTTATGTCGATTGCCCAATGTATAGCGTGAATTTAACCCCTTCTCCGCGACATTGGCGAATGAAGAATTTAAAGATCGTAGAAAAATCGTGAAACTTTCATAATGCTACCAAGACATCGACGAAATATATTCGAAACGAGATTTTTCAATCTCCTTGCATGCGTGGGCTGATGAATTTTAATTTTAAAAGCGCGCTCGGATCACCATGGCGACTATTATAAGAATCAAGACTTGATGAAACCAACTTAAATGGAGTCTCAATGTTTCGTAATGTATCATCCCCACCTGATAAACAAGTACGTTCGTGAACGCATTAGGGACGGAATTCCAATTGCAAAGCCATCTAATTTATCCATTGATTCGTCGATTGCTTAACCAGTAGCTTTTAATCACAAATCAAATTATAACAATTTTTCTTCCACGTTCTATAATTCACGCTCCACTGCCTAAAAGTATCCAACAACATTTTTGAGCTTTTCCCGTTCTCGTTGCCGGGCGCGTAAAAATCATTCGGTTGCTTCAGTTTTGCTTCAGCAGCAAGTTACAGGGATAAGCACATTCTTTCATCGCCTTAAGAATCGCAGAAATGTATTTCTTCTTAGTCAATGTATTAAACGTAATGGAATGTTGGTTGGCATTATTTTTTATGATATCGAATGCTTATCAATCTCAAGGTACGATAAATTGCATATACAATAGAGGTTTCTTGTCGTTTGTCTTTCTTGTCGATTGTCAAGCGCCTGTAACTCGTGTAATTGTAAAAATATTTATTATGAGCTCTATTGATTTATTATTAGCTATTTTGTACAAGATAGGTGATCAAATTGAAATCTTGAGATTTTATATTAAGAAACTTTATTTTCAGAAACATTTCTTTTATCTCAAGGTTAAGCAAATAAAATACTCCTGATGACAATGAAAATTTTATAAAATTCCTCCATTCTCCTGCGACATGCGACTGTACGTCTGAAAATTAGAAAAATCAATTGCTTCTCGAGTACGCGTCCTCTACTTAAATAGGCAATTATAATTAATTATAATGCTCGTCGAAATACATTAATGATTTAATGAATTTTTCCTTAAAATTGTTCGTCGATCAGATCGCGGTTGGTAATAACAATAATAAGAAGCAGAAGAAAACTTTTTAAATTAAATTAATAATCGATAAATGCCAAATCGATATAAAGAAGGCATGATAATGGTATAGGCAATAATTGAGTCTAATTGTGAATTTGTGTAATAAGAAAATTCAATATGTGTAATATATTTGTCATGGACTACCAATACATTGTTTCGCATTATACAACCAATGCGATATAAATGTAAATTATATTTCAAATTACAATCATAATACTCGGCTGATAAAAGATTTTCATCGACGATTTTATTCTCAAGGAAGCTGTTCAAATTTTTCATTATTATCCAGTAATATCTAACCTACATAAAAAGACAAAAAATTTTCACATTTTCTCCAAATCGCTATATACAAGCTGAATAATAAAAGTCATTATAGACTTTAGACTTTAGATTGAAGAGGCGGACGATAGTAATCTGATTTGAATAAAGATCACAATTCTCTCATCAAATTTCCATTTTACGTATATGTACATTTTTAAATTATCCGTAATCTAAATATTCACATCATAAAAATATATTTCTAACGCAGTATAGAGCGTCATATGAATTAATAAATTATTTTTTAACTACGCATACTCGCATTATGACTCAATTCGTCTTGAATCGAACTGCATATTTCATTGCGTATTGATATTTAATCAAATAAATCTTTCGCTTGAATTATCTGAATCATGATGCTCTTAGATGGCTTGTGACGTCATCCACTGACAGTTCGTCTGACACATCCTTTGAAATATTCTCGATCGTGAATTAAGTATAAATAGAAAAAGTAACGTGAATGCTCCATATATTATATAGGCTCATCGATACATTTTTCTTCTTCTTCTTCTTCTTCTTCTTCTTCTTTTTTTTTTTTTTTTTTTTTTTTTTTTTTTTTTTTTATTGTTGTTTCAATGAAAAGAATGAGCAAAAAAGAGCAACAATACAGAGGCGAAACGTTGACATTGAAACTAACACAGAATTTATTTGTGACGTACAAAATTAATTTATTGAATTGCAATATTATATTAGGCATTTAATTAACGAGAATATAAATAAACATTTATTTTTATCTATCCACATAATGTATTATCAAAATATCGTCACATTATTTGCTTAAAATTCTGTTTTTCGTTAAAATAATAAACATTCTGCTTTGTAAAAAACAGTATTTCGCGTTAATCAAATTTAAAATTAAATCATCATTTTTCATGGTTTGTAGATTCGATTATTGTAATGGGACATTTGTAACGTATATAAGAACAAACATATATTTTCATCGATACAAAGTCTTAAATTATTTACGGAACTAAAATTTCACGCGGAAATAATATCTAAAGAATGCAGGTCCCTTCAAATTTGCATTCTTATCTAATAGTTTATATATCAAAAATCCAATCTATTCGTCTCATATTAAAGAATTCAGCTTATTACCTCATTATATTTAAATGAATAATAATAATTAACGAACGTCTTTAATCGATTCATCGACGTTGTAAATATGCCGTTATATAGATAATGTTGAAAAAATAATCATAATCGGAATCATGCATAATTCAATATTTTAGTTTATAATATTGTAATTGGTATAGAATCCGGAGAGAGAGAGAGAGAGAGAGAGAGAGAGAGAGAGAGAGAGAGAGAGAGAGAGAGAGAGAGAGAGACAGACAGAGAGAGAAGCTCTCCCACTATTCAAAAGAGTTAACAATCAAATCGAATGTCATATTCAAATGTTTTGTTCTAATGACTAGTAGAAGAGTCCTCAAGGACGTATAAATAATATAAAGTGCATAAACCGTTTAGTAAAGTAAGCAATCGATTACGGGTGGCAGTAGGCCGTGAAGAAGAAAAAAAAGATAAGTGAAACGCCACCGCCTAAGTGACGTAAGAAAGGCTGATAATTAGCATTAGATCGATTTGGCGCGTATGCCTGTCGCAGTCGTCGACGAGGATTATGTATTTTAAGCTTTACAGGAAAATAAAGGCATAGGACTATGAGTTTGCCAATCAGAAAGTGGCCAGCGACGATAATTTTCAAGAGAATTTCCAATAGTCGACGGAGTGCTATGGCGAGGGTAAAAAATGTACTCGATTCGATGCGATCCCCGTGCAACGATTTCACCAACGATCCAACCATTCGCTTTACAGGAGCATCGGACTATCGATCGATTCGCCAATTCACGGCCGGACGCTCGACCTTATCGACCTCGCTCCTCTTCGCCGGCGGTCCAGTGCGATGCGGCTCACTCGCCGTTGCATCCTCCGAACTTCTCGGCCGAGCCAAGTCTCCCTCCATCATACGTCGTCACTCCACTGACAAGTGAGCAAGTGAGATGGAGTCGCGGGAAAAGGAATGACGTCCAGGGACACTGGCCGCGTGACGCAGGAGGAAAATGCGCGTGGGTGGACCGCGCTACGGCTCGAGTCTCGTGTTTGTTGTTTTTGTTTTGTTTTTTGTTTTGTTTTTTGTTTTGTTTTGTTTTTTTGTTTTGTTTTGTTTTGTTTTTCATTGATATCGGAGCTCGTAGTAGATGACCGGGATACAGCGTAGCCTTCGCTTTGGCCTTGTTTCCGTTTCTCCTCGAATTTTCGCGTGCGACCAAAGAATGGCACACTGCGTTCGAACAGTCACCCAGACACGCGCGCGCGCTCATACATATTGTTCCGCGAGCGATCGCTTTATGTGGCCATCGATACAAGTGGCCTTTGAAATTTTGGCATTTATCTCCGCTACGTAATGCAAGATGGTACGGCAAATTGTGATTCGATAAATAAATGCTATTGTAGCGCGATGTTTAATTGTACTTTGCGAATTCGCTCGGTTACGTAACATTGCGTATTCAGCGTATACATGCATAGCGGATGAAAATTTCTTTCAACATGCGCTCGGCTGAATTATTATTTTTATGACAATAATTAACCTTAATGCATTTGTTAACCTAAAAGTATATTTCAAATGCAATTATTCAAATTAGATATGAATGTAATGATATTGTAATGTACCCGCTGCATTATTCATTGGAAGCAACATGCGAGTATTCACGCCAAGAGGAAGATATCATCAGTAAACTAATGAATTTTAAGAAATTTATTTTATATAACAAGTCGTCATGGTTTTCGATCGTAGTCGGCCACATAATAAGTGTATATTTATTTTTAGAAGCACAGTGAAGAACTGTCGAATACATTTGTATTAGACATTGTCCAAGTATTTATTGAATACAGACAAAATCTTATGAATATAAAGTATAATAATAAATTAGTTAGCATCTAAATAAGTTTTATAATTGTCAAAAGTTTTTCCAACATTTCTTAATTTATAAATTACAATCT